ACAGAGTTAACTAGCACCACACAGTCTCCAAGACACTTTGGAATATGTGAACAAAGTGCAAGACCTCGACCTGAACGGGACGGTGATTTTTTCACTGAATAACTCCTCCTTGTTCAGGAACGTGCCAGTCACAAAAACAGTAAATGACATCTGTGAATTCATTACCTCGAAGCACCATGACAGGAATGCCGGTAAATACACTCAAGTGATTACTACTAACTGAACCTTGAATGTACAATTCCTGTTTGACAACAGGTACAGACAATTGGACGGAGTAGCTATGGGCTCGCTCCTGGGTCTGCTTCTAGCAAATATGTTCATGGGCAAACTAGAAGCTGTGCAACTTAGCCACCAGATAAATAACCTCACGTACTACGAACGTTATGTAGATGATATATTCGCGGTTGCATCAGATCAAACCAAACTTTGAGCTCTAATGCATACAGTAAATAGGGCGCATCCGTCTATCAAGTTTACATTAGAAGAAGAACAACCTGGATCGCTCCCATTCCTTTGTGTACTATTGAGTAAATTGGCCGATGGGAGCATTCGACGTAGGGTGTATCGTAAGAAGACGTGGTCCGGGCAATACATCTATTTTGCAGCTCCGTACCGTTAAACTTCAAATCTAATTTTGTGCGATGTTTGACACAAAGGGCGAAAAGGATTTGCTCGACTGATAAAATCGAAGAGGAGCTTAAGATTGTTGAAGGCGTTTTTTGACAAAATGGGTATTCCAGTCGATTTATCGCTAAGAACATGGCTGAAAGGCCACCAAAGCCGTCAATGTTAACAGCAGACAAGAAACGAATATTCATCAGGATCTCACTTCAAGGGCACGGACCAAGCGAACTTCTAAAAAGACGCCTGAGTCAAGCTGTAGCAACCACCTTTACAGCAGCCAACGCTCATGTACTGTTCTCGACTACTCCCATCCTATACGGAGAGATCAAGGAAAAACTACCAGCCCAAACCAGTTCTATGCGGATATATTAATTTACTTGCTCCTGTGGAGCAGGATATATTGGTTGCACGAGCCGGCGTTTGTCCAAAAAAGTACGAGAATACATTCCAGCATGGTCAGGGAAGGGCCAAATAAAGGGTATAAGCAGTTCCATTCTAGCGCACTTGGTGGACTCAGACCATCGTGTGGATGCAAGAGGCCTTCCGAATGATCTACAAGGTGCCCTCAAGCTATTCAAAATTGCTTGGACAACATCTTTTGGCTACGGCAGAAGCAGCCGCCATCAGGCTACGCCAACCGGTTCCCTGCGCCCAAAAGAACTTCGTCGCGGCGCCGCAGTTACCATAGCCGAAGGCCGCTAATCCAACGACCAGCAGCTTATTACCTCGCTCGGCTACCCGTCCCCCCTAACGCTGATCAGATGTTTGACCCCGATACCCCGCCCCACCACCTATCCTGACA